TGGCCTTTTTTCGCTCATCATTGGCCTTTTTCCTTCCTTCACCTCCGTCCGTTGGTTTGTCCTTACTGCAATCTGATAGCAGGTTCTCGACAGCCTCTGGTCGCCTCGGGCCTCTCCTACCTTATCTCCGACAGGGAATTTTAGCTTCATATGATAGGTTGATACTACCGCTTGGAACGCGTTGAGTGCCGGCCTCCCCAGGATCACATTATAAGCCGACTCGACGTCGACCACAACAAATCGCACCATTTTTACCTTCCTTAAATCGCCTTCCCCGAGGACGACAGCAAGAGTGGTTTCCCCCAAAGGGGCGACTTCCGAACCATTAAATCCGAAGAGTGAAGTGTGAAGAGGCGAGAGTTCAAGGTCGAGTTCCATGCGTTTAAGGCAATCGAAGAATATCACATTTACCGAGCTCCCTGTGTCGACGAAGATTCTCTGGACTTCGTAGCCCGATATCTGGGCTGTGATCATCAAGGCATCGTTATGAGGTCTCTCGACTGCTCCCATGTCGGCTGGTCCGAAATTCATCACCGGACTATCTTCTTCGACCTGCTGCACTTCGATTTTTCTATGATGCCCTCGAGCATATGCTTTTCTAGCCCGGTTTGAATCGCCATCAGTTGGTCCTCCAAATATCATATGAATTACTCCTCTTTTTTGGGGAAGCTCTTCCTTATCGGGTGTTCTCGCCCTCTTGCGAGGGCTTTTGCTCCTCTCCCTTCGTCTACTGGGCCGTTCTCGATCTTTATAAACAAATTCCTTCAGGTGGCCTGCTTTGATTAATCTCTCTATCTCATTTTTCAAGTGCCGACATTCATCGGTATTATGGCCATAGTCTTTGTGGAACCGACAATACAGGTTACTTTTAGGTTGTGTCGGCCCGTCCTTTCTCGTTTGTGGCCACCTGACGACGTTGTCGCGGATCTCTCTCTCCATAACCTCCAGTATCCTTACGCGCGAGGCCGACAGAGGAGTATATTGGGTTGTTCTCCACCCCCTTGGTCGCCCTTCTCTTTCGGCTCTTGGAGATCCTTTCCTTTCAGTTGTTGCGACCGGCTTTTTGTCCTTCTTCTCGTCCTGAAGCTCAGTCTTTGGCTTAGCCGCTTGCAGAAAGTCGGCTTCGGCTTCCTCAACATTCATGTATTTGGCGCACCTTCCCAAAACTTCATCAAACGTCCTTCCGGGCCGCTTCGCTAGGGAATTTCTGCACAGTCCCGGGAGTAGCCCTCGCGTGAGTCCTCCCGACTTGATCTCCTCAGTGGCCGAGGGGACATCGACACACGCCCTTGTGTACCTCGCCACGTAGTCCCTTAGTGATTCCCCTTCCTTCTGCTGCATACCTATCAGAGTAAGGTACGACTTTTCTTGGGCTTTGACACTTGCAAATTGGTTTAGGAAGCTCGAGCTAAACCCGTCGAAATCCCTGATGGCCCCCGGGGGCAATTGGTGAAACCAATCCTGCGCGGGCCCTCGCAGGGTCGTCAGGAATGCTCGGCACTGAACGGGGTCGTTGTATCGGTGTAGTACTACCATGTTTTCGAAGCTTCTAAGATGTCGGGAGGGATCAGTCGACCCATCATACCAGATATTAAGCTCCCTGAAGCCTTGAGGCAAGTCGGCATCTAGGATATGTTGTGAAAAAGGGTGTCCCCTTGAGCTTCCCGTCTTCCTTCCTTCGACCCGGGCCTGCAAGTCTCGGACCTGCGCTAACAGCTGTTCTAGCGTGTCGTTTCTGGCTTGTGGATTGACGGTTCTGACAGAGGACTCTTCCTCGTCTATCCTCCTGTTTTGCCTCTCATGCGATTGTGCCTGCTGTTCGCGCTCAGGGGGCTGCTGTTCGTTTTGGAGTTGTTCAACTCTCGCTTGTTCGACCCTGGGCTGCTCGACCCTTGGTTGTTCGACTGGTGTCCATTTGAGTTGGGCCGCCACTGCCTCTGCGATCATTCTCTGCATCTCGCTTCTCGTCATGGTCAGCGTTTGTTCCTCGCCTTGGGGCGGTGGCCTTACCTCCTGGTCGAGTCGCCCAGGCTGCCTCCCCATCCTTAGGGAGATTTCGGTTGATGTGTGATCACCTGTCTCTCCGCTCGTGTCCCTCACGTGGCTGGCCTCCCCCTGCGTGAGAACCGGGATCTTGACTCCGGGTGGGGTAATAGGCGTCTCTTCTCCCGTACGCCCTCCTGACGGCGCGTGTGCCCCAAAAGGTGGGAATCCCAGCACCTGGAGCGGTGGTCTAAAGCTGGGAATCGGCGGAGGTCGCTTGTCCGTCCATGTTGCCCTGAAGTCCTCGTTCAAGTTTTTCTGCACTCCTTCCTTCTCAGCCATCGGAAACAGATCCAAGCTAGGTGTAAAGCTCTTAATTCCTTCAAGAGCTCCCCACAGACGGCGCCAAATGATGGGTTTCTTCTCAGATCTGGGACGGTCTAATGAGAAAACATCCGGATCTGGGACGAACCGGTACGGATGAGCTTAGATCTGATGTGATGGCGATCGAACCGTTGTTGTGAGCCGCAAGAACACCTGCAAGAACTCAACGCCGGAGGGGTTTCCGGCGTAGAGCCTCCGACGCTCAAGTCAGTATATGAGAGAGGTGATGATAGCTGCTATCAGAGCAGCAGCAGTAATGAAAAGGATATGGAATGAATGAGAGTTAGGGTTTTGGGATTACCTCAGTCCTTTATATAGGAGTACAATATTTACCTGAAGTCCCCAAAGTGCCCCGGCCGACTTATTGGAAATGTCCAGAATACCCTGGTCGGTTCATATTCTGCCTACTTCCTAGTCAGCATCTAGATCCTTCCTTAACTTCCTTCTTATCCTTAACTCTTCTTCAACATGCTGGGGTGTGTCAAAGCTATCGGGAACCACGAACTGCAAGACTCCTCCAGTCGACTTGAGGTATTGAGTCGAGTCGACTGGATCGTGTCCCACCGTTAATGGACCCTAATACGTCTGACCGTTATCTTGTCGGAGGTCGACTCATCCTAGTCGACATATGCTAGTCGATTCGATCGGTGGCCGGGATCCTTGACTGAGTGTCGTGGAACCTTACTATAGGAGTCGACTTTGTCTAAGTCGACTTGGTGGTCTCGAACCGTGATGGTATGAACCGCTATGAGCCAATGTGGCTATATCACTATTCAATTAATTGACTATGTGCACTTTATTAAACATTTTTTATGATATTCGATTTGACATCTATATTGTATATATGAAATAAATAAATTATATTTATCTTTATAATAATTAAAATAATAATATTTACTAAAATTCATTAGAAAAATAAAATTATTTCTCAATTGATATATTTATGTTTAACGTAGTTATATGTTGTAAATTAAAAAAATTATTATAATAAAACACAGGTAAGTCGCACAAATAAAAAATGTCATACTAAATATAATATATATATATATATATATATATATATATATTTATAAAAGATATTTAAATTTTTAACTACTTTTTTCTCATTAATTTTAGATTTTAAAAAAAAAAAATTAGCAAGCACACGTGTAATACACGGCGTTGTACTAATATATTATGAAAGGGCAAAAAGTGATGAAGTAGGTGGCCATCTATAAGACTATCTTTATCCCCAACCTAATCCAACTCAACCTAATAATTAAAAATTATTTCTCTCCCCTTCACCTACACAACTCAACTTTATAATCCAATTTATCTTTATCTCAAATCCAACTCAACCTAAATATTTATTTTAGTTTAATTTATTCAAAAAATTTCAATTTTATTTCAAAATATACCAAGTGTGGTCTCTATTTGTAGAGAATGAAAAAATATAAATTTTAATATTATTTTTATTTTTTTAATTAAATAAAAAATACACTTATCCAATCAAAATGAAACAAATGTCTCATTCTCCAAATAATAAACGGGCTGGTCGCTCACTTTTCATGACCCTTCCTCTTTTTTCTTTTTTTTTTTTTTTNNNNTTTTTTTTTTTTTTTTTTTGGCTTTTTTTATGTTTTTTTATTTGGTGACCCATTCAATGGGTCACCGTTAAAGATGGTCTAACATTTGAGAAAGAAATAGTGTGTGGTAAACCTCATCAACAAATCATAATGGCCAATATCAACTTTTATTTGAAAGCGCGTATGGTACTGTAGACGCCTCGAGTCTCTCAACTATGCGATATCACAGGTAAAACTGAAGTGAATTCAATCTTTGTAGAATGCTACCATCTCGTTATAGGATGATTCGTTGTGTTTTTAAACGTTGGATTAACTACCCATCACTAGATTACATGTATATCTATGGCTAGAAAACACAACGGAACCATCTCATAACGGGATGGTAGCATTCTCCTCAATCTTTATGTATTTATTTATTTAATTGATTTTTTACGGGACTTCAATCTTTGCTTCACGCGAATAAATGAAAAGGTGGATTTTTTTTGGGGGTGTCTATATGTACACCCTCTTGTGTGTAAAAAGGGGGTGTACATATAGCACTTTTCTTTGTATAATTTATTAAAAAGGGGTGTACATATAGCATTGCCCTTTTTTTTCTAACCCTAATAATTATTTGACTTATCACACTTTTTTAAATTATTAAAAAAAAAATAAGTAATCGCATTTGGTATTCAATTATCTGACTTTGTACACTTTTTTAAATTATAAAAAAATATGTAATCGCATTTGGTATTCAATTATCTGACATTGTACACTTGGTATTCAATTATTTACACTTTTTTTAATTATAAAAAAAATAAGTAATCGCATTTAGTATTCAATTATATGCACTTTATTACTCGATCCACCATTATATATATATATATATGATAACCAAGCCCCAAACACATCACCATACCAAGAAAAGATAGAGCAGAGATAGTAAA